AAAAAAAAAAAAGGAATACAGAAACAAGGTTTAAAGGGAGTCAGACAGTCTAGAACACTCATTTGTGTTTATGCTCATGTACTTGGGTGCCCATCTCTCATGGAGACTGGTCAATAACCGCGACTGCAAAGGATACAGAAAAACAGGGTAAAGCACGGTGCCTCTGTCCTGTTTTCAAGCAACTCAGCAAACCCCAAACAAAACAAACTCAAATTCATACCCAGATACATCACAATCATATAGCTGAAGACAAAGTAAAAATGGTCAAGGCAGCCACAGGAAAAATCGCCTCGCTATAAATAAATGAACAAAATGAGGCACAAAGTCTGTGAAGGGCTAAAAGAACCGTCAGCCCAGAATTCCATATCCACCAAAAACTCCTTCAGGAATAAAGATGGAAGCCGAGACGTTCTCAGGTGAAGGAAATTTAAGAGAATCAATTGTTGCAACTGCTCTGAAAGAAATGCCAAAGGAAGTTCCTCGGATGGAAGGAAATGATAGGGAGGGGAGTGTGACACTTCAGGAATGAAGGAAAAAAGCAACAGAAAGGGCAAATATCTGAGTAAACAAAATAGAATGTCATATCCACATCAGTTCTTCTAAAGTATGTATTTGCTGAAAGGAAAACTGCTGAGCGAGGATGAGATGTTCAGTCTCTCCAGGCACCCGTCTGTAATGCGGCATGAAGAGACCTAAGTGGTGCTAAGGTCTCTACACTAGACTTGAAGTGATAGAATATCAATTTTGAATAGACTGCAAAAAAAGTAAGTACATAGAATATAGCCCTAAAGAAATCGGCTCGGCACCCTTAGCACAGTGGTTAGGGCACCAGCTACATACACCAAGGGTAACAGGTTCAAACCCGGCCCAGGCCTGCTAAACAATACTGACAACTGCAACAAAAACTAGCTGGGCGTTGTGGCGGGCACCTGTAGTCCCAGCTTGTTGGAGGCTGAGGCAAGAGAATCACTTAAGCCTAATAGTTTGAGGTTGCTGTGAGCTGTGATGCCGGGTCTCTCTACCCAGGGCAACAGCTTGAGGCTCTGTCTCAAAAAAAAAGGAAAAGAAATCACTAAAAATAAAAATACAAAGAAAAATAGTAAAAAAAAAAAAAAAAAGAAAAGAAAAATTCAAATAGAATACTAAAAATTATTCAAGTGATCCAAAAGACAGGAAAGGGGAAAGAAAGGAAAAAAGACAGAAACAAACAGAAAACATAATAAAATTATACATCTAAATCCAAAAATATCAATAAGCACATTAAATGGAAATGGTCAAAACACACAAAACATACAGATTATGGGGCTCAATGGATAGGGCACCCGCCCCATATACCAAGGGTAGCAGGTTCAAACCCAGCCCCAGCCAAACTGCAACAAAAAATAGTCGGGCAGGTGGTGCCTGTGGCTCAAAGGAGTAGGGCACCAGCCCCATATGCCTGAGGTGGCAGGTTCAAACTCAGTCCCACCAAAAACCACACACACACACAAAAATAAAAAGCCGGGCATTGTGGTGGGTGCCTGTAGTCCCAGCTACTTGGGAGGCTGAGGCAAGAGAATTGCCTAAGCCAGGAGTTGGAGGTTGCTGTGAGCTGTGACACCACAGCACTCTACCAAGGGTGTTCAAGTGAGACTGTCTCTAAAAAAAAAAAAACTGATTATGAAAATGTATTTTTTAAAAAGACCCAATTACATGCTGTTTAAAAGAAATACATTTTAAATATAATGAACAGGTTAGACAGAAAAAGATGGAAAAACATGCCAGGCAAACACTAACCAAAAGAAAGTTACCAGGGATAAAGAGTGACATTACATAATATTAAAAGAGTCAGGGGCTGGGCAAGTTGGCTCATGTCTGTAATCCTAGCACTCTGGGAGATCAAGGCAGGTGGACTGCCTGAGCTCACGGGTTTGAGACCAGCCTGAGCCAGAGCGAGACCCCTTCTCTAAAAAAGAGCCTGGTGTTGTGGCAGGCGCCTGTAGTCCCAGCTACTCAGGAGGCTGAGGCAAGAGAAATCACTTTAGCCCAAGAGTCTGAGGTTGCTGTGAGCTTTAACGCCATGGCACTCTACTGAGGGCAACAAAGTGAAACTCTGTCTCAGAAAAAAGAAAAATAAAAAGGGTCAGTTCATCAAAAAGATATAACAATGCCAAATGTGTATGCACCTAATAAGAGCACACTTATTCCAAAATCCAGTTTGGAATGGCAGTTTCTTATCAAGTTAAATACATATGTATGTATTACACAGCAATCCCACTACCAGGTATTTACTCTGGAGATTGAAAACTTAGGTTCATATAAAAACCTGCACATGAAAGGCCAGGTGCAGGGCTCACACCTATAATCCTGGCACTCTGGGAGACTGAGGAGGGTGGATCACCTGAGCCCGGGAGTTCAAGACCAGTCTGAGCAAGAGCAAGACCCCATCTCTACTAAAAATAGAAAACCAGCCAAGCATCATGGCAGGTGCCCTGTCCTCCCAGTTGCTTGGGAAGCTGAGGCAAGAGGATTGGTTGAGCCCAAGAGTTTGAGGTTGCTGTGAGCTATGACACCATAGCATTGTACCAGGGGGACAGAGTGAGATTCTGTCTCAGAGAGAAAAAACAAAAAACAAACAAAAAAACCCCCCCTGCACATGAATGTTTTTAGCAGCTTTTCAGCTAAAAACTAAAAATAACCCAAGTGCTCTTAACAGGTGAATGGATCAACAAACTCTCGTATATCCATACAATAAAAATTCAGCAATAAATCAGATGAACTACAGATACACAATGTACTCATGAATCTCAAAGGCAAGACGCTAGTGTGACACCAGTCTCAAAGGCTCTCTCACTCTATCCATAGACATGGCTTGATTCCACTTACAGTAAGCCCACAGAGGAGGAGGCTACCTCAGGGGTGACAGGGGACTGGAGCAAGACAGTGTGAAGGAGTCTCGTCAGCAGTCAGTCTTACTGCAGCAATGGTTATAGGAACCTGAACTTACACATGGGTATTTGGTTTTGCTTTGGGTTTTTTGTTTGTTTTTAGTTGCCTTTTAAGAGATAATGTCTTGCTGTGTTGCCAAGGCTGCATTTGAACTCTGAGCTCAAGCGATCCACCTGCCTCAGCCTCCCAGAGCGCTAGGATTACAGGCATGAGCTACCATGCCTGGCCTCAGTCTTTTGAGTATATACACATATGTTAAAACTCACTAAACTAAAAACAAAAACAAAAAACAAAAAAACTCACTAAACTGTACATAACAAAAAGATCAATTTTAATGCATGTTAATGTGTCTTAAAGATACTAATTTTCATTTTTTAAAAAAATTAACCAATTTTAAATGAGACTATTATTAGAAATAAAAAATAACTTTTTATTAAGTTCAACTTTTAACCATTAAAGCAGTAATTTTATTTTATTGTTTTGGGGGGTGTCTCTTTTTTATTGTTTGGGATTCGTGGAGGGGACAAAGAATTAGGTTACACTGACTGTATTTGTTAGGTAAAGTCCCTCTTATACTTGTGTCTTGCCCCCAATAAAGCAGTAATTTTAAAAACTCCAATGGGTATTCTCTCTTTTTTTCTCTGCAAGAGAATATTTAACCATTTGGAAAATTATGTTATCCAAAAGAAATAAATTGAATTTTGTTTCTTTGGTTAAGGCTAAGTGATAGCCATTCTAGGAGAGAATTTTATAACCTGTCCTCAGATGATTAAACCTATGATTTAACTGTTAATCTGTAAAGCCTGTGGGTCAAATCCAGCCTGCTACTAGTCTCTGTAAACAGAGTTTTTTTTTTCGAGATAAACTCTCAGTCACCAAAGAGTGCCATAGTGTCACAGTTGATGACAACCTCAAACTTTCAGGCTAAAGCGAGCCTCTTGCCTCAGCCTCCAAAGTAGCTGCGATTACAGGTGCCAAACACAATACCTGGCTAGTTTTGTGGGGTTTTTTTTGTTTGTTTGTTTGTTTTTAGGAGACAGGGTCTCTAGCCGGGCATTATGGCAGGCACCTGTAGTCCCAGCTGAGGGAGGCTGAGGTAGAAGAATCACGTAAGCCTGAGAGTTTGAGGTTTCTGTGAGCTGTGATGCCAGAGCACTCTATTGAGGGCGACAAGATGAGACTCTGCTTCACAAAAAAAAAAAAAGAGAGAGAGAGAGAGACGGGGTCTCTGGACGGTGCCTGTGTGGCTCAGTGAGTAAGGCGCTGGCCCCATATACCAAGGGTGGCAGGTTCAAACCTGGCCCGGCCAAACTGCAACAAAAAAATAGCCAGATGTTGTGGTAGGCACCTGTAGTCCCAGCTACTCAAGAGGCTGAGGCAAGAGAATCACCTAAGCCCAACAGCTGGAGGTTGCTGTGAGCTGTGTGATGCCACGGCTCTCTATCAAGGGTGACAAAGTGAGACTCTGTCTCTAAAAAAAAAAAGAGACGGGGTCTTGCTCTTGCTCAGGCTGGTCTCCAACTCCTGAGCTCAGGCAATCCACTCACCTCAGCCACCCAGAGTGCTGGGATTACCAGTGTGAGCCACCGTGCCCAGCCTATAGTTTTGTCAGACCGTAGCTATACCGGGTGGTTCACGGAGTTAAGTGACCACGGTTTCTTTCATACTCAACAGCAGAAATGAATGGCTATGGGAGGGAGTGAACGGCCCACAAGCCGAGGGTATTTCTGGCCCTCACGGTGTGCCGATCCCTACTACCAGGTAATGAGGAGAAAGCCTCACTTCAGAGGGTGGCAATGGCAAGAGAATCTGGAGGCCCCATGTACCGTGTCTGAGGGTGATTCTGAGATAGGTGCACGCACTTCCTCTTGGGCCACTACTGGACTGGACTCTTGTTTAGGAGGGCCGACTTTTGATCGAGCCAAACTTAAAAATTCACTAACAGAATCTTCTTTCTTTTCTTGTTTAGATGTGTCCCATCTGGATGGTTTCCTCGATTCTGAAAGGTAGGACACAGACATAACATCAGAATTTTAGCAAGCAAGTTCTTCACTAATCACAGAACATCGGTGTGTCTACCATGGATGGGAGCTGAGCAAGGCGGGGGGTGTGGCAGAGGCACAGGCCCAACCCTGGACCCCGACATCTGGACCAACACCATGAGGTAATTTATTAACATGAGTAATTCTCCTCATGGAGGGAGAGTGGGCATGATGGTATCTTTAGGACTAGACTCCTATTAGTTCTGTCTTTCCCAACAGGCTATGGACTGACACCCCCGTCTGCCCAAGACCCAGAGAAGCTCTACTCACTGTCAGGACCTCGGTGCTGCGGCCCCTTTTCACTTGATGCTTGAGCTGTGGGCAAGGAGGCTGTCTCCGGGACTGTCAGAAAGTTGAACACTGAGTACTTGTCACGCTTCACTCTTGGTAAGCCAACTATAGTGGAACTGGGAGTTGACAAAAAAAGGAAATAATAAATAAATTTTAATAACAGCTGCTAGGATAAAATCTACTTCCTGTGAAATTTTCCACCAGCTCCTCTATGTGGACAGAAGGTCCCCTAAGATGCTTTTGCTTCTCAAAGCAGTTTCAGAATTCAGGATGGTTGGCTTTAGGTGTAATGAGTTTTTCCTTATTACGGTAAGGGCAAGAATTTAAATTTGAAAATAGACTGCCATTAAGGAAAAGTTCCGGCTCGGCACCTGTGGCTCAAGTGGCTAAGGTGCCAGCCACATACACCTAAGGTGGCGGGTTCGTATCCCCAGCCCGGGCCTGCCAAACAACAATGATGGCTGCAACCAAAAAAAATAGCCGGGTGTTGTGGCGGGCGCCTGTGGTCCCAGCTACTTGGGAGGCTGAGGCAGGAGACTCGCTTGAGCCCAGGAGTTGGAAGTTGCTGTGAGCTGTGATGCCACAGCACTCTACCCAGGGGGACAGCTTGAGGCTCTGTCTCAAAAAAAAAAAAAAAAAGAAAAGAAAAGAAAAGTTCCACTGATAAAAAAAATACCTAAATGATCTGACGACGTCTCTGTTTCAACTGTCTATGTGTTCGGAAAGTGTTTAAAATCAGATATGACAGTACTGAACTTTCATAAAGAGAATGAGAAAATGTCAACAACATTTTAAATATAAACCATATGAACAGCATTAAAAAGGGAGCAAACAACTTGAAAAAATAGTTCTTTGTTTCATATGAAACCAGAGAAAACACTGAATCACTACTGTAATTCTATGAACTAAAAACAAGTCTGGACACATCATGTTACCAGACTTCAGGTAACACTACAAGTCTACAGTGATCAAAACACAAGGGACTGGCCTGAAAATACAGACATGTATCTATGGAACAAAGAAGAGAACCTAGAGATGAAACCGGCCTCATACCACCAAATAATCCTTGATAAAGTCAACAAAAGCGTACACTGGGGAAAAGGATCCCTGTTTAAGAAATGGTGCTGAGAGAACTGGTTAGCCACATGTAAAGCACTGAAACCGTACCCACACCTCCTCACCACTCACAAAAATTAACTCATGCCGGATAGAAGATTTAAACCTAAGACGCAAAATGATAAAAACTCTAGAAGAAAGTGTGGGAATTGGCTCGGTGTCTGTGGCTTAAGCGGCTAAGGCGCCAGCCACATACATCTGAGCTGGCGGGTTAAAATCCAGCCCGGGTCCACCAAACAATGACGATGGCTGCAACCAAAAAACAGCCGGGCGTTGTGGTGGGCATCTGTAGTACCAGCTACTTGGGAAGCTGAGGCAGGAAAATTGCTTGAGCCCAGGAGTTGGAGGTTGCTGTGAGCTGCAATGCCACAGTGACAGCTTGAGGCTCTGTCTCAAAAAAAAAAACAAATGTGGGAATAACTCTTACCAATATTGGCCTTGGGAAAGAATTTATGAAGAAGACCCCATTGGCAATTGCAGCAACAACAAAAATAAATAAATGGGATCAGATCAAGTTAAAAAGCTTCTGCACAGCTAAGGACACAATAAACAAAGCAAATAGACAACCTTCAGAGTGGAAGAAGATATTCACATGTTATGAATCTGACAAAGGGTTAGTAACCAAAATCTACTAAGAACTCAAGCAAATCAACCCCATTAATCATTGGGCAACAGACATGAATAGAATCCTTTCCCAAGAAGACAGACGAATGGCCAACAAACACGTGAAAAAATGCTCATCGTCCCTAATCATCAGAGAAATGCAAATCAAAACCACTTTGAGATACCACCTCATTGCAGTGAGAATATCCCACCTATAGTCTCAGTTACTGGGGAGGCTGAGGAAAGAGGATCGCTTGAGCCCAGAAATTTGAGGTTGCTGTGAGCTAGGCTAAGGCCATGGTACTCTAAGCCCAGGGACAGAGTGCGACTGTGTCTCAATAAAAAAGGCTCGGCACCCGTAGCTCAGTGAGTAGGGCAACAGCCACATACACCAAGGCTGGCGGGTTCAAGCCTGGCTCAGGGCCTACTACACAACAATAATAACTGCAACCAAAAAACAGCCAGGCATTGTGGTGGCCACCTATAGTCCCAGCTACTTGGGAGGCTGAGGCAAGAGAATTGCTTAAGCCCAAGAGTTTGACGTTGCTGTGAGCTGTGACACCATGACACTCTACGGAGGGTGACAAAGTGAGACTTTGTATCAATTAAAAAAAAAAGAAAGATAAAGTTTGCTATCTGAATGTTTATCATTTTAGTGACAAATTATACCAGCAATTTATTAAAACAAATCTGTAAATTTGAACCTCCAAGGACACACAAGTAAGTTCATTTAGAAAAAAAGGAATTTAGTCAGGCATAGTGGCTCATGCCTATAATTCCAGCACTCTAGGAGGCCAAGGTGGGTGGATCACCAGAGCTCAGGAGTTTAAGGCCAGCTTGAGCAAAAGGGAGACCCTGCCCCTACTAAAACAGGCAAACTAGCTGGGCACTGTGGAGGGAGCCTATAGTCCCAGCTACTCAGGAGGCTGAGGTGGGAGGATCACTTGAGCCCCAAGAGTCTCACGCTGCTGTGAGCTGTGACGCCACAGCACTCAACCCTAGGGTGACAGAGTGAGATTCTATCTCAATAAAATAAAAATAAGTAGAAAAAAGGAATTTGTATAAGTATGTAAGAAAAAAGTTAGCTTTAATATGGGGACTGTTTTGTAGTGATACAAAGGCAGGTCTCTCACTCACTTTGGATAAGGGTCAGGGACGTTGAACCTCTTACATAGAAGCTTGTCAGGGTGCCACTCAAACGTGTCTCGGGTGAGCTTTCCGAACATCTTCATCTTCACAGCTGACTGCTTATCACCAACATCATTCTGCGTAAAGACAGGCATTCTGTTCCATCAAGTGGTCACACAGTGACCTGACCGCTTTTCCATGTACAAATTTCTAAGCTATCTTCTAGAATTACAAAAGAACTCATGCTATGACATTTTTGCTCAACTACATTGGAAAATAAGGCATTAAATAGTTTCTTATTCAACTACGTCATGTGAGTTTTGATCTTTTCACTGAGGGATTTAAGGTACTAGGCCGCGCAGAGCTCTAATTGTAAAGCTCAGCAGGCAGGGACGGGAGGGTGACAGACCTCTTGGTCTCGAGGCACTTCAACCTGATCAGAGTCGTCTTCCTCCTTGGCGTGAGTGAACCTGGAGGACAAGGTCGAGTGGGAAGACACGTACAGGAGGGCCGCCCGGGCAAACTCTTCCCGCTCGCGCCCTCGCTCCCACTCCGTCATGCTGGGGTCCAGACAACGCTCCAGGGCATCTGTGGTACAGAGAGCAAGAAACTCACTGCTAGGAAAAGCAGGGGTCTTAAAGGGGAACATCTGCTGGCCCCCACTGCCTCCCTGTGCACTTCAAGGGGGAGGCCATCAGCAAGTGATAATGCTGTTTCCTTCCAAATGATGCTTTTCCTGAGGGACGGGTGTGGTGGCTCACACCTATAACCCCAGCACTCTGGGAGGCTGAGGCTGGTGCATTGCTTGAGCTCAGGAGTTCTGAACCAGCCTGAGCAAAAGACTCCCAACTCTACCAAAAATAGAAAAACTAGCCAGGTGCTGTGGCGGGCACCTGTAGTCCCAGCTACTCGGGAGGCAGAGGCAGGGGGTCACTTGAGCCCAAGAGTTTGAGGTTGCTATGAACTGTGACACCATGGCACTCTACCCAGGATGACAGAGCGAGACTCTGTCTAAAAAATAAAAGCTAAACTATGATTCAGGACCAGATGGTTAGTGGAGGTGACGTGGTGGGAAGCGTAGAGGTGGCGCTTCCAGAGGAGAAGCGTTTGCCATCAGTAGGGTCTGTAATCCAGCAGCAGCCACCGCCAAGGCGTAGGCGCCTCCTCTACTTAAACAGTGGTCTGTCTTGAGGCCTGAGATGTCGAGAAACAAAATCTGGTTGTTCTTGCTTTCTGAGGTCAAGACTTGGGGCCTGAAACATCTGCACTGTTCACAACAGGACGAGGCAAAAACCCTGGCCGAGCAGGACGTCCCAGCTTCAAACCGGGACGGAGCGGGAGAACAGGGAGAATGCTGCCCGTCCCCGGCTGAGACGTGGAGAGCAGGCCTCACACCCACCTTTCTCGCCCTCTTTCACATGTGCTAAGAACGCTTCATAACGTTTTTGCTTTTCCGGATCTTTTGCGAAAGGCTTGAAGTTGCTAGCTCTTGTGGTGGCTGTCCCACCGGCCCATGGCACGCGCCAAGAACACTGCCCGACGTCAGGAGCAGAGGGCTGAGCTCTGCTGCTTGGGGCACTCGGGGCCAGACCCCGGGCCTGGAGCTGAGCGGCTTTCAGGTCAGTGGCCTGCTTCACTTCTTTGAGTCTCTCCTTGTCTTTTTGAGACAGAAATTCCAACACTGATGTAGCTGAGCCTACATAAAAACAGTAATAAGAGATGAAAAGTATCAAAAAAAACTACACATACACTTCTCTGTCATGCATTTTCAGTGTCACAAACTGGCATAACTGGAGATGAGTATTTTACGTTTTGTATTTCATTTACATTCACATACCCCATGAGATACTAATAAAATAATCAGACTCCTGTTTTACAGTTGGCAAAAATGGAGGTTAGCATTTGTTGTTTTCTTCCCTTTTTTTTGAGACAGTCTCACTATGTTGCCCTGGGTAGAGTGCCACGGCATCAAAGCTCACAGCAACCTCAAACTCTTGGACTTAAACGATTCTCTTGCCTCAGCCTCGGAAACAGCTGAGACCACAGGTACCTGCCACAATGCCCGGCTTTTTTTTTTTTAGAGACCGAGTCTCACTTTATAGCCCCTGGTAGAGTGCCATGGCGTCACAACTCACAGCAACCTCCAACTCCTGGGCTTAGGTGATTCTCTTGCCTCAGCCTCCCAGGTAGCTGGGACTACAGATGCCTACCACAACGCCTGGCTATTCTTTTGTTACAGTTTGGCCGGGGCAGGGTTCGAACCCGCCCACTCTCAGTATTTGGGGCAGTGCCCTCCCTACTGAGCCACAGGTGCTGCCCCAATGCCTGGCTATTTTTTTGTTGCAGTTGTCATTGTTGTTTAGCTGGCCTAGGCAGGGTTCAAACCTGCCAACTTCGGTGTACGTGGCTGGTGCCATAACCACGGTGCTACAGGTGCCAAGCCTTGTTTTTTTTTGTTTTGTTTATCACGTCCAGGAGAGGTCTGAACTCGCCACCCCTGGTGTGCAGGGCTGGCGAGCTAACCATTGAGCTATGGTAGCCAGCTTGGAGGTTAACATCTGGACATTTACAGGGCATGTGAGTGGTCTAAGGATGAGGAACCTGGGCTGGGCGTGATGACTCATGCCTATAATTCTAGCACTCTGGGAGCAAGAGCAAGACCCAGTCTTTACTAAAAATAAAAAAATTAGCTGGACATTTTGGCAAGTACCTGTAGTCCCAGCTACTCAGGAGGCTGAGACAGACAAGAGCTTGAGCCCAGGAGTTTAAGGTTGCTATGAGCTATGACCCCACAGCACTCTACTGAGGGCAACAAAGTAAGATTGTCTCAAAAAAAAAAAAAATCAGAATGTTACGTTTTAATCCGAGGGAGAATGACAGGAGACTGACGAAGGGCAGGCTGGGGAAGGAAGGGAGAACCGACTGCGTCTGAGAACCTGCCCAGCTCCTCATGGTAATGGTGCACACAGCTCGAGCCCCGGAAGTCAGGTCCGCGCTCAGAGCGCTCAGGGTGGGTATTTTTGCAGCACCCAATGCGACTCTCCAGGCCTCTGCAGCTTCCACACACACTCAGTCCTTTTAGGCTTTTGGGAGAAGAGCCACATTTCTCTTTCCCACGAAAAACAAAAGCATTCTTTCCTAGGCTGCACAGGGAAGATGAAGGTACATGTGTTCCCGGTCTCAACCACACTCCCAGATAATTATCAAAAGTCTGGAAACAGCTGCGCTCACAGCAAGGGCTATGATTTTAGTGACAACGCCCAAACTGAAGATGAAAAAGAAAGCATAAGAATTAACGGATATATACGCTATTAGGAAAGCTGTTTACAATAATTTTGTTATTCCCGAAGTTGGGAAGACAGAATTGTGTAAAAGGCTTGGGTGTTGATACTGCCATTGTGTCAAATGTGATCATTTCAATCTTCCCCCAGCACATACCTCGAGGAGGTGTCTCTCCTAGCAATTCCGCCCGCTTGGAAGCATTCAGCTGGTGCCTACTGTGTGTCCCTGGGTCAGGTATTGCCTTTCCCGCTGACTCTGATAACACCTGAAGTAAGTGGGAGTTCTCAGAGGTCGCAGCTACCACAGGTCTGAAATAATGCACCGGCCGATAGTCTCTTGGCAACTGAGGGGGTGGATAAATCTTTAAAAAAAAACCCAGAAAATACAGGTATGAAGACCACGTGAGTTAACCAGGAAAACCCGTCACCTCTGAGCGTGGCTAACCCGCAGCAGGGAGGCGGCACTGGAAGAGCCTGGCAGGTGTCCAGCCAGCATCCACTCCAGGTCAGAGCCACCTTCTTCCAGGGATCACAAATTTTAAGCCCTGGCCACGTCTACAGAAAGATGCTACCATCCAAGTTTTGCATGACGGGAAAATAAAGATGATGATAGATCACACATGGTATTCGCAGAGCTGGCTCACTATAAAGGGGAAAATTTGGACAGTTATGATACAATGCACAGAAAAAAGAATAACTTTAATTATGTTTAAATTCCAAATCTTCTTTTTCTGATATTTCAGTTCCAAATTGAAGCTTTAGGTCTCATTTTTTGATCCAAGGTATTTTTAATTTTTTTTTTTTTTCAGACAAAGTCTTACTCTTGCTCAGTCTGGCCTCAAACTCCTGAACTCAAGCAATCCACCCGCCTCAGCTTCCCAGAGTGCTGGGATTACAGGTGTGAGCCACCATGTCCAGCCAGTATTTTTAAGTTAAAAGCTGACTGAACTGAAATTGAAATACGTTTGGGAAATTTGAGTATTTTTAATACTGACGGGCAATAGTGATAGCAGCACATAAAAGTTAAAGGGACGTATTAGACAATTTTAAATAACTAACTACTAAGTGATCTCCCTTGCTCTTGGTCTAACACACACATATTTTAGGACCAACCTATTTAAGCTGCTTTCTTTTTTATTTCAAAATACTACAGGAGCACAGATGTTTCTGCTTCCACGGGTCATGCTAGAGTCAGAGTACAAACGTGGCCACCGGATGTTGCTCACTGCACGCTCAGGGGGGTTTCTGCCCACCTCCACTCACCTCTGCTCGATTCCCACTGAGGTTTACTCCCCTCTGTGCACGGGTGCTCATCCATCAGTTCCAATTAACAGTGAGTACATGTGCTGTTCGTCTTTCCATTCTGTAGTGTTTTCCAGATTTGTAGGCAGACTCAACTCTGAACTCTGTGGCAGCAAAGCCCTGACCCCTTTCTGCTATGGTTCTTAGTCCCAGGGGCACCCTGGACTCACTAGAGGAGTTTCACCAACACTAATGCCTGTGTCCCATTCCCAGAAAGCATGACAGAACTGGGAGTGGTTAGGAGGTGCAGCATGGATTAGCACCTGGCACAAAGACAGTCCATAAAAGTGTAGTATTATCATCATTTAAAAAACCCCTATTTTTAAAATCATCTCAAGCTCGGTGCCTATAGCTCAAGTGGCTAAGGCACCAGTCACATATACCAGAGCTGGTGGGTTTGAATCCAGCCAGGGCCTGCCAAGCAACAATGACAACTACAACCAAAAAATAGTTGGGCATTGTGGTGAGTACCAGTAGTCCCAGCTACTGGGAGGCTGAGGCAAGAGAATCACTTCAGCCCAGGAGTTGGAGGTTGCTGTGAGCTGTGATGCCACAGTACACTACCCAGGGCGACAGCTTAAGGCTATCTCCAAAAAAACCAAAAAAAGGGGGGTGGGGCCTATGGCTTCATGGGTAGGGTTCAAATCCAGCCCGGGCCTGCCAAACAACAACAACTACAAACAAAAAATAGCTGGGTGTTGTGGCAGGCACCTGTGTAGTGCCACCTACTTGGGAGACTGAGACAAGAAAATCACTTAAGCCCAAGAATTGGAGGTTGCTGTGAGCTGTGATGCCATAGTACTCTAGCCAGAGCTACAGCTTGAGGCTCTGTCTCAAAAGATAAATAGATAAAATAAAATAAAATCATCTTAGCCTGATTACCTTCTTAAAACACACAGACTACCACATCAGGCAGAAAACACTCTTAGGTCACAGCCACACAAAAATCCAGAGGAGCATTAAGCTGGGCATGGTGGCTCACACCTGTAATCGTTACACTTGGGAGTCTGGGCAGGTGGATCACTTGAGCTCAGGAGATTTTTTTTTTGAGACAGAGTCTCACTATGTCACCCTCAGTAGAGTGCTGTGATGTCACAGCTCACAGCAACCTCAAACTCTTGGGCTTAACTGATTCTTTTGCCTCAGCCTCCCAAGTAGCTGGGACTACAGGCGCCCGTCACAATGCCCAGCTACTTTTTTGGTTGTAGTTGTCATTGTTGTTTGGCAGGCCTGGGCTGGGTTTGAACCCACCAGCTCTGGTGTATGTGGCTGGCACCCTAGCCGCTGAGCTACAGGTGCCAAATCCAGCTCAGGAGTTTGAGGTTACTGTGAACTATGACTCCACAGTACTCTACCAAGGGTGACAAAGTAAAACTCTGTCTAAAAAACAAACAAAAAAAATCCAGAGAAGCAAGGCAGAAAGGGTGTCCACAATTCTTTATCTCCACCACCAGGAAAACATTTCTCTCCCTCTGCCAAATCACTGTTCTGTTTGGGCGCCAGACACAGACACATCTATGAAAGGCTGGGTGACAGCCCTCCTCAGAGTCACTCCTGCCCAGAGCCCTGCTACAACCAAGAGCTCCCCGGGAGCCCCAGCACTGAGTCTCTCCATCCAGGCCCCACACTGTCACCTGGGTGTCTGCTGTGCTTGCTGGATGGGCACCATCTGGGGCCAGCATTTAGCCCTATTTATCTCTGAACCTAAGTGAGTACTTTTTTGCCATTTTCCAGCTATGTTTCCTTTTCTTTTTTTTTTTTAGAGACAGAGTCTCACTTTGTCACCCTCGGTAGAGTGCCATGGTGTCACAGCTCACAGCAACCTCCAGCTCTTGGGCTTAGGTGATTCTCTTGCCTCAGCCTCCCAAGTAGCTGGAACTACAGGTGCCTGCCACAGACCTCGGCTACTTTTTGTTGCAGTTTGGCCAGGGCCGGGTTTGAATACGCCACCCTCGGTATATGAGGCTGGTGGCCTACTCACTGAACCATTGGCACCACCCTATGTTGTCTTTTCATACATGTAAAAGACACACGTTCTCCTCTGATGTATTTGACGTTTCTGGTGGTAATAGCAGCTCACTACACACGCAATGCCTTTCTAAATGTCTTCTGCTCACTGTTACCACACATTGACTATGATGATGAAACAGATCACAGCTGCCCCTAGGCCTCCCCTGTTCTGGAGAACCACAGGCAGAGCTTAGTTAACAAAAGTGAATCAAAAGGGCTCAGTGGCTCACACCTGTAATCCTAGCACTCAGGTTTGAGACCAGCTGAGCCAGAGCGAGACCTCATCTCCAAAAATAGCCGGGCGTTGGAGCAGTACCTGTGCCTCAGGGGGTAGGGCGCTGGCCACATATACAGAGGGTGGCAGGTTCAAACCCGGCCCCAGCCAAACTGCAACAAAAAAATAGCTGGGCATTGTGGCGGGCACCTGTAGTCCCAGCTACTCGGGAGGCTTAGGCAAGAGAATCGCCTAAGCTCAGGAGTTGTAGGTTGCTGTGACAAAGTGAAACTCTGTCTCTTAAAAAAAAGAAAAACCATTATGGCTCCTATAAGACCCAGGACAGAATATAGACACTATATAAAGAATCGGGGGCAGGCAGCACCTGTGGCTCAGTGGGTAGGGCGCCGGCCCCATGTACCGAGGGTTTCAGGTTCAAACCCAGCCCCGGCCAAACTGCAACAGAAAAATAGCCGGTCATTGTGGCGGGCACCTGTGATCCCAGCTACTCAGGAGGCTGAGGCAAGAGAATCGTCTAAGCCCTAGAGCTGGAGGTTGCTGTGAGCTATGACGCCACAGCACTCTACCGAGGGCAAAAAAGTGAGACTCTGTCTCTTAAAAAAAAAATCTGGGCAACCCTGCTTTCATCCTGGAACCCCCTAACCCAGTTAGCAAGTCAAACCAGGGTTCTCCCAACCCTGTTCCCCTCCAGCCAGGCAAGCCGTTGCCTCCTGGGGAACAGACACTTAGAGCTCTCTGAGAAAGCCAGTGATCCAGAAGCTCTACAGCCCCGTCTCTGCCTCAAGGTCCCACCAAAGGGGCCTGGCTTCTATCCAACCTTGCTGGGTGAAATCCAAGTGGTTATTTGAGAAATAGAGTAACGTCATCTTTCTGCAGGTCTTTTTAGCTAATACACATCTATTTTCATAGGCATCATCTCACTTAATTTTCATAATGCTATAAACCAATGTTTTTCAACATTTTCTTTTTTGGCCAGGGCCGGGTTTGAACCTGCCACCTCCAGTGTATGGGGCCAGCGCCCTACTTCTTGAGCCCCAGGCACCTCCCTGTTTTTCAACATTTTTTTTATTTCTCAGCACACTTGAACCTAGAGTTAAACTTCCACAGCACACTTAAATTATGTTGATCAAAAACAAAAAAAAGAATGTATTTACTGTGCTTTGACCGTCTTTCAAAAATAATTTAATTAATGGGCAGCACCTGTAGCTCAGTGAGTAGGGCCATGGCCATAGACACAAGGGCTGGTGGGTTCAAGGCCGGCCGGCCCAGGCCTGCTAAACAACAATGACAACTGCAAGCAAAAAATACCTGGGCATTGTGGTGGGCGCCTATAGTCCCAGCTACTCGGGATACTGAGGCAAGAAAATAGCTTAAGCCCAAGAGTTTGAGGTTGCTGTGAGCTGTGACATCACAGTACTCTACCAAGGGCAATAAAGTGAGACTCTGCCTCAAAAAAAAAAAAAAAAAAATAGCCGGGCATTGTGGTGGGTGCCTATAATCCCAGCTACTCAGGAATCCGAGACAAGAGAATTGCTTGAGCCCAAGAATTTGAGGTTGCTATAAGCTATGACACCATGGCACTCTACCCCAGGGTGACTGAGTTAGACACCGTCCTCAAAAAATAAAAAACAAAAAGCTCATCAAAGGGTGGGATGATGGGAAACAGGATTGGTAACAAGGCTGAAGTGGCCGGCACCCCAACTGCCCCTGATCACGTGACTACAAGCAGGGGGCTTTGATGGGGTTAAGAAAGAGCACTACCAGGCCTGACATCAAAAACTCACAAAACTCACGAAAACCCTGGAAAGGGATACAGAGCTTTCCTCAGCACTTTCCCCACCTGTGCACGGCTTCCCTCTTTCCTGCTAGGGTGTGGCCACACAGCTTCAGACTAGCAGGAGTCAGGGCTGGGGCTACTGTGTTTTTTTAATATTTTCTGCTTTTTCCCCTACAATTACATTAATTTTATTCTTGAGCCAATTTCTGATGTATGTATCACTTAACAGAAATAATCACTCACTTGAAGTTTTGATTTCAAATACTAGCAATTAGATGTTCTGAACACATCGTGGCTGCTGACATTCTTTTCTTTTCTTTTCTTTTTTTTGTAGAGACAGAGTTTCACTTTATTGCCCTTGGTAGAGTGCTGTGGCATCACACAGCTCACAGCAACCTCCAACTCCTGGGCTTAGGTGATTCTCTTGCCTCAGCCTCCTGAGTAGCTGGGACTACAGGTGCCCACCACAACGCCTGGCTATTTTCTTGTTGCAGTGTGGCCAGGGCTGGGTTTGAACTTGCTGCCCTCAGTATATGGGGTCGGCGCCCCACCCACTGAGCCACAGGTGCCACCCAGCTGCTGACATTTCTAATGCAGATGGTTTTTGTACACAATCACTCATAACTAGGCTGTCTTTTGTTCTTTTAACCTATGTATCAAGAAGTAAAGCTGTTGGTTTTTGAAAACAGAATTCACTTTTCACTTGTTAATATAATAACTCAGAGTGGCAAATAACTCAGTGGCAAATATTTTAAACACCAAACCAGTTTAAAAGGAAAAAAAAATTTTTTTCTTACTTTCTTAGAAGATAAAGGTTTAGAAGCCAAGGAAAATCCATCCAAAATTTTGCCAATGTATCGAAGATCTTTCTCTGGTTCTACAAAAATGATGTCATTGATTAATTCCAGAAGTACAGATGATTAGAGTGAGACAAAAGACGTCAGCTTTTTATCTCCCAGAATGTAAATAGTGCAAGTGTGTGTCATACGTGCTATCGCTCAGAGAGGAAGAGAGAAGGCACAGCAAGCCTCACACCTCTGTTGACTCAGTGACTGGTGGCCCAGCCCACACCACCCTCAGCAGATTAGGCTGCAGCCCGGCAGGACAAGTTATTTCTAGAAAAGGTACCTTAGGTCCTAAATCAAGGGGCACCAAAGGATAGTCTCTGTGGAGTAAAAGATCTCCAGAAAAGCCACCATGAGGGCAACCAGGGGTGGAATTGAAACCCTGACAGTGAGGGGAGCTGGGTGCAGAACCGCGGGGAGCTGACCTCACGAGTTCCTTAGCAACAATCCAAATAGGGCACAAGGACAACACAGCCGGGCCGGGCCGCAATCTAATCTTACTACAAATTAAAAGGCACTTTTGTCTTTTTCTCAAATTAAACTCTAGCAAGGGATAAAGATCACAAACTTAGGAAACTGAGTGACCAGCACCCTCTGACTTGGCGCTGAGGGGGTCCGCTGGTCAGAAAGACAAGCCCTTTGACTGGCCCTTTGATTTGGTTCTCAGGGATCAAATCCGAAGTCCACACAGACAATTGCACTTTGAGCACCAAAAAGCCCCATCCTCGTAATAACCACAGCTCACACAAGCAAGGTGCTCAGTCCTGAAGCAGGAACACCCTTGGCGAGATGAGCTAAGGATCTTAACTGCGGGTAACACAGTAGCACCACCTAACAATTCACCCCAACACGTCATTCTTTGTACTTCAACCCAGGTTGAACTTCTCTTCCAGTTTCTACAATTCCTCAAATTCTTTTTTTTTTTTTTTTTTTGAGACAGGAGCCTCAAGCTGTTCCCCTGGGTAGAGTGCCGTGGCATCTCAGCTCACAGCAACCTTCAACTCCTGGGCTCAAGCGAGTCTTCTGCCTCTGCCTCCCAAGTAGCTGGGACCACAGGTGCCCATCACAATGCCTGGCTATGTTTTGGTTGCAGCTGTCATTGTTGTTTGGCAGGCCCAGGTTGGATTCAAACCCGCCACCTTGGGTGTACGTGGCTGGCACCTTAGCCACTTGAGCCACAGGTGCCGAGCCAATTCCTCAAATTCTATAGGGTCATTGGGATTAAATTTCATATGCTTGGTATTTTGAAACCCTGAAATTTCACTTTTATTGTATTTATTCTGAAGAATTTTGAATAAACAGATGCACACAAAGCTAGAACCATAAAAATATTCATTATAACCCTATTGATCATGGAACAAAGGAAGAACAATTTCAAAATCAACTGTGGAGACTAGGTAAAATCACTGAATGAAAAAGCACAGTCAGGGCCAGACCATTATAGATCACACCTGTAATCCCAGCACTCTGTGAGGCCAAAGAAGGAGGATCCTTTAAGATTAGGAATTGGAGACCGGCCAGAGCAAGAGACAGACCCCATCTCTACTAAAATAGAAAAACTAGCTGGGCGTTGTGGCAAGCACCTGGGGGGGACTGAGGCAGAAATATCACTTGAACCCAGGAGTTTGAGGTTGCTGTGAATGAGGACATGACAGCACTCTAGTGTGGGCAACAGAGAAGAGACTGTCTCAAAAATAAAAAATAAAAGGCTGGGTGCGGTGCTTCATGCCTGTAATCCTAACACTCTGGGAGGTGGAGGCGGTGGATTGCCTGAGCTCAAGGATTCAAGACCAGTCTGAGCCAGAGCGAGACCTTATCTTTAAAAATAGCTGGGCGTTGTGGTGGGTGCCTGTAGTCCCAGCTACTCGGGAGGCTGAGGCAAAGGGATCACTTGAGCCCAAGTATTTGAGGTTGCTGTGAGCTGTGATGTCATAGCACTCTACCTAGATGACAAAGTGAGACTCTGTCTCAAATAATAATAATAATAATAATAAAAAGTAAAAAAAATAGGGTGGCGCCTGTGGCTCAAGGAGTAGGGCGCCGGCCCCACATACTGGGGGTGGCAGGTTCAAGCCCAGACCCAGGCAAAAAATAAATAAATAAATAAATAAAAATATATATATGTATATATATAAATTTTTAAAAATAGAAAAATTAGTCAGAACTATATACATGTCATGGCTTTGGGGTAGGAGAGAAGCAGTAGCTGGGGCAGGTAGCATGGGGACAGCGGGCACAGCAGAGAGATGGGCGTGCTGGGGTGCAGGGGATGCCCCTGCCCAAGGGGTGGATCACATCAACCAGGGACAAAGGTGTTATGAAAGGGAAAAGTAAAAGACTTGGCTAAGGAGGCAGATTTAAATATATATGTCACTATATATCATGAATTGTTATAGAATTCACATGTTGTTATTAACATTAATATATAACATACTGTTAATTAACATAATTAACTGATGTTATATAGACATTTATTTTTTTTTTTGAGACAGAGTCACCCTGGGTAGAGTGCCGTACTGTCACAGCTCATAGCAACCTCAAACTCTAGGGCTTAAGCAATTCTCTTGCCTCAGTCTCCCAAGTAGCTGGGACTACAGGCACCACCACCTCGCCCACTATCAATTTACTTTTATTTTTTATTTTTTTTTGAGACAGAGCCTCAAGATGTCACCCTAGGTAGAGTGCTATGGCATCACAGCTCACAGCAATCCCAACTCCTGGGCTTACGCGATTCTCTTGCCTCAGCCTCCTGAGTAGCTGGGACTACAGGTGTCCACCACAATGCTGGGATATGGACATATTTGATAATCTAAAAAGTTAGATCAGGGTGGCGCCTGTGGCTCAGTGGGTAGAATACTGGCCCCATATACCAAGGGTGGTGGGTTTAAATCCACAACTGCAACAAAAAATAGCCTGGCATTGTGGCGGGCGCCTGCAGTCCCAGCTACTTGGGAGGCTGAGGCAAGAGAATCACCTAAGCCCAGGAATTGGAGGTTGCTGCAAGATGTGATGCCACGGCATTCTCCTGAGGGTGATAAAGTGAGACTCTGTCTCTAAAATAAATAAATAAATGAATGAATAAAAAATTAGATCAAACTTTATCTCAGTACAGCTAAAAATGTCTGAACAGACTGTTTTATCTCAGCTCTCTCCTTGTTTGGGTTGTTGTTATTACAGTCGCATGCCTCACAATTTAGTCAACATGGACCAGGTCTATGATGGTGGTCCCATAAGGTTATAATGAAACTGAAAAACTCCCGTCACCTGGGTCAACGCATTACTCACGTGTTTGTGACAACGCTGGTGTCACCAGACCTACTGGGCTGGCAGGCTATAAACGTCCAGCACCTGCCATTAGGGACAGTCTATAAAGCCTGATGAGGACAGTAAGTGACTATGTTACTGAATCACATGTATACTACAATATATTTTTTATCCTTTATTTATTTACTTTTATCCTTATGTTAAAGTGCACTCCTACTTATAAAATAGCCTCAGGCAGGATCTTAAGGAACTACTCCAGAAGAAGGCATTATCATCAGAGGAGATGACAACTCCATGCATGTTAACGCCCCTGGCGACCTTCCAGTGGGACAAGACGTGTAGAGGGAAGATGGTGATGTTAATTATCCTGACCCTGTGCAGGGCTAGGCTGATGTGGATGTTTGTGTGCTCGTTTTCAACAAGAAAGCTTAAAAAGCAAAAAATAAATGTAAAAATAGAAAAAAAAGTTTATGGAGTAAGGATAATAAAAAAAGAAGGTATCTTTGTACAGCTGTACAATGTGTTTATGTTTTATACTAAGCATCATTGCAAAAAAGTCAAAAAGGTAAAAGAAGTTTTACAAAGTAAAAGAGTTACAGCAGTCTAGCCAGGGCAGTGGCTCGTACCTGTAATCCCAGCACTTTGGGAGACCAAGGCAGATGGATCACTTGAGCTCAGGAATTTGAGATCAGCCTGAGCAAGAGAGAGACACCATCTCTACTAAAAATAGAAAACCTAGGCAGGCATTGTGGCAGGTGCCTGAAGTCCCAGCTACTCTCAAGAGGCTGAGGCAGGAGGATCAATTGAACCCAAGAGTATGAGGTTGCTGTGAGCTATGATACCACAGCACTCTACCCAGGATGACAGAGTAAGACTCTGTCTCAAAAAGAGTTAAGCAGCCTAGAGTTAATGTATAGCCCGGGAGCAGAGGCTGATCCCATTCTGGGAGACTAAGGCAGGTAGATTGCCTGGGCTCAGGAGTTCTAGACAAGCCTGAGCCAGAGCCAGACCCTGTCTCCAAATATATTCAGGCATTGTGGTGGGCACCTGAAGTCCGTGCTACTTGAGTGGCTGAGGCATGATCTCTTGAGCCCAAGAATTTGAGGTTGCTGTGAGCTACAATGCCACAGCACTCTACCAAATGTGACAGAGTAAGACTCTCTCAAAAAAAAAAGTTAATTTATGATATTATTAAAGAAAGAAAATCTTTTTAGAAATTCAGTGTGGCCTAAGTGCACAGTGTTTGTGGAGTCTGCAGTAGGGTACAGTGGTGCCCTTGCCCTTCACAGTCACCCACTGCTCACTCACTGAGTCATGCCAGGCCTGCAACTCCCAGCCAGCAAGCCCTACGCCCCACATAGGTGTGTACCATTTTTTATCTTTGATAGCACTTTTTTTTTTTTTTGAGACAGTGTCCACTCACCCTGGGTAGAGTGCTATGGCATCATCATAGCTCACAGCAACTCCAAAGTCCTGGGTCAAGAGATCCTCTTGCCTCAGCCTCCAGAGTAGCTGGGACTGCAGGGGCCTGCCACAGCGCCCAAGCTAGTTTTCCTATTTTTAGCAGAGACAGGGTCTCGCTCTTGCTCTGGCTGGTCTCCAACTCCTGAGCTCAAGGGATCCTCCTTTCTTAGCCTTCCAGAGTGCTGGGATTATAACAGGTGTGAGTCACCACATTGGGCCTTTTATACTATGTTTTTTCTGTGCCTTTTCTACTTTTAGGTACGTTTAGATACACACATACTGCCACTGAGTTACAATGGCCTACAGTGTTCAGCACAGTGACACATGCACAGGTTTGCAGCCTGGGAGCAACAGGCTACACATACCACAGAGCTTCAGTGTGCAGTGGCCTGCACCAGCTTGGTCACATGAGCGTGATCTAAGAGGCCTGCAGGAGAGACTGCCTACAGCACAGTGCTCAGACACCGAGGGACAGTGGGTACCATGCATCTCATAGCCTGCACCAGCTTGGTCGCATTAGCATGATCTAAGAGGCCTGCAGAAGAGACTGACAGCACAGTGCTCAGACACCGAGGGACAGTGGGTGCCATGCATCTCATAGCCTGCACCAGCTTGGTTGTGTGAGCATGATCTATGAGGCCTGCAGGAGAGACTGCCATGGCCCTGTCTTGACAGCTGGCTTTGGCCTTGGCCTGGTAGAGGCCCTACCCCAGTCTTCCCACCCACTGGGCCTCTCTGCTTTGTTTGTCACTCTGCATCTCTGACCACTTAGCGCCTGCGCCACAGCAGTGACACTCCAGCATCAACCTGGTGATCCCTCGCCCTGATGTCCTGGCACTTGGTCCTACCATCGAGTATGGGTGCGTGGAATTACCTTTCTGACCTTTATACTGCCTGGGCGCTGTCCAGCCATAGAGTCCGTCTCCAGGCTCCTCGTCCTTCAAAACAGTGTCGTACTTGGACAGAGTTTCTGTGGCGTAGATGTCGTCATCCTCTTCTTCCAAGGCACCTACACCAAATGCCTTCAAAAGACAATTACAGGTTTCAGGTGCATCTGCGTTGAAGGATAACGCTGCTTGAAGGCTGTGACTGAAAAGACCACATGAGCACTTCAAGGTCATCAAGAGAGGCGAGTAGGGGCTCCAGCTTTACACACATTCGAGCCCCTGGAAAACAACAGCCAGACGTACGGACCAGTCCTCCAACTCCTGCCACAGCCACCACAGCAGGACTTGGCACAAGAGGAGGAGGAGGACAGAGCACGCCCAGGCAGCAGAGAGGGGGCCTCCCAAAGGAGAAAGGAAAAAAGTTCATCTACAGATCTAAGTGTCCTGTGGACGGCATGGGCAACCAGGGTCTGAAGACTATGGCAATTCTCACAGCTGGTGTGAGAGCTCCTAACAGTCTTATTAAAAGGATAGGAAAAAATGTATAAAAAGAAAAGGTAATAATGAAATGACAAAATAACTATTTCTTTCCTTTTTTTTTTTTTTTTAGAAAGTCTCACTCTGTGCTCTGGGTAGAGTGCTGTGGTATCATAGCTAACAGCAACCTCAAACTCCTGGGCTCAAGTGATAGACGCTTTTGTCTCAGCCTCCACAGTAGCTGGGACTATAGGTGATCGTCACAATTCCTGGCTAGTTTTTCTATTTTTAGTAGAAATGGGGTCTCACTCTTGCTCAGGCTGGTCTCAAACTCCTGAGCTCAGGCAATCCACCTGCCTCAGCCTCCCAGAGTGCAAAGATTACAGGCGTGAGCCACTGAACCCTACAAGAATAACTATTTTCTAAACGCATTTTTAAAAAGACTCTCTGAATCAATTTGAGAGAATGGGCAGTTAGGAAAAGCTTTCTACTCTCCCAAAAGTAAAAACACAAGTCTCCTGAGTACAAATTTCCCCAGTGTTCCTGACTTAAGCTTTGCAGCACCTAGTTAATAGTCTCAGAGGTGGTAAAACTTGGACCTAAACTTGAAAAGGCAGATTGCCATTTGGCTATTACTAACTCAAAGAGGTAAGAGTAGTTTTCTGCTCAGCCCCACAAGGCAAGACAGCAACCCTCCTTCCTGAGAACACACAAACTCCACCAAGAACTTTAAGCACAGATTCTAGGAGCTGATTATTAAAACCAGAAAGGAGTGTTTTACGTGTCTCCACAGTCTGTGCTAAGGAAAACATAACCTTCACCAGTGCCTACCATGAGGCACAGGGAATGTCGGAAACACACTCTCTTGCCAATGACTCCACCGTCGGGACACAGAAACTCTTTTACCTGGCCTGAAATTCCCAATTTTCTTCCTTTATTCAGTCCAAGACCGCCAAGAAGATTGCTGGTCCCCTCAGATCCCCCACTGAAAAGATTAAAATGTTCCCCCGAAGTTCCAAACAGTGCTTGGTGGGGATCCAGGCCCTTGTAAGCCAGTCCGTGCACATTATCTTTAGGTGTAAAATCCACAGGTGTGACATCTTTGGGTGCAAAGGTCACATTATCAGGCAAGTAGTCATCATCTTCATCCTATTTCCAAGTGGAATTAAGGTGAGTCACTGCATGATACAAAGGAAACCCACAAAATGCTATTTTAAAATGCAGTGATTAATTCCAAACAACAATTTTCAAACTTTCTTTGTGCTGTTACAAATTAGTAAATCACCTTCCTCTATCACAAGTAATACCAAGACAAACAACTCCTTTCTTATGAATCTAAACAGACCTGGATGTCTACAGTACAGGCATGCTGCCCAATCTATTACCTGACATAATGAGGATAGTTTTAGGACATGAATATTCCACTGTACAGTAATGGAATCTGACCAATTTCGTCTTCTTTTTCTGAGACAGAGTCTCACTTTGTCGCTGTGGATAGAGTGCCGTGGCATCATCATAGTTCACAGCAACCTCAAATTCTTGGGTTTGAGCAATCCTCCTGCCTCAGCCTCCTGAGTAGCTGGGACCACAGGCATGTGCCACTACACCTACTTATGTTTTTCTGTCTTTAGCATAGATGGGGTCTGTGCTTGCTCAGGCTGGTGTTGAACTCCTGAGCTCAAGCAATCCATCCACCTCAGCCTCCCAAAGTGCTAGGATTACAGGTGTGAGCCACCGCTCCCAGCCATGACCTATTTCTAAAATTGTTTCTGACCCTAAAATTTCATTAAGTAACAGGTGCTACCTGCTGTACCAAACTAAAGGTCAGTCATCCCAAATAATACCTCAGATTCCTCAGAGCCTCCAGGGGGTAACGCACAGCCGTAGATTTTTACTCCGGGATCTATTAAAAATGATTTTGAAAGCATTTGTCAAGATCAACTAAAAATAAAAACTTGACTTACTCTCCAGAGGTACATGGCTGCACTCATAGTAGGTTCTACAGCTTCCGGGTCGGGGGGTGGTGGTGCGGGGTGGGGTGAGGATCTCCTGCCCTGCCCGTCATCTGGGGGTAACGTGCTCAGTGGAGCAGCCATTGTTGCCCTGACACCACAGAGGACCACAGAGAAATGGCTGCTGCCCTCCCAGACTTCACTCCCAGAATCTCTGGGAAGACCAAGGGTAAGGAATAAGTAGAAAACAAGCTAAACTGGGACGTAATTTTGACAAGGATAAGAAACACAAACTTTCATGAGGTGCTGGGAGGAACCTTTCTAGAAGCTGTCGTGCATTACACATAAAAAGCCTCCAAATACATGCAAGCCACAGGGCCTGGTCATTTCGCTTTTCAGAGCCTGTAGCACTGAAAGGTAAGCTGTGGAGTAATGACCGTCAAGATACACACCAGGTTTCTGTCGGCGTGGCCTTCTCTTTACTCGAGGACCGACTCCTTGTCCTTCTTTCCAACCCATTTTTCTTAGCAATTCAAAACCAACAGATAATCTAGGGTACCAAGACATTGAAAAGGAACTTTTTAAAGGCAATATTACTGGACAGTGTGACAAAAGCAGCCTCTGAGTCCCGGTCTCCTAGGCCTGTCTTCCTGGCCCTGGCCCTCCCCCACATCAGAGCCACATGACCCTGCGATCCCAGCCACAGCTAACCTGGGGAAGACAATCAGGTGTTCTTGCTCCTGAGCCTTTGGAATGGGTACACAGGGACTCTAGATTGTCCTCTTTTTTTAATTTTTTTTGAGACAGAATCTCACTCTGTCACCCTGGGTAGAGTGCCGTGGAACCATCATAGCTCACAGCAACCTCCAGACTCCTGGGCCCAGCTAGTTTTCCTATTTTTAGTAGAGATGAGGTCTCACTCTTGCTCAGGCTAATCTTGAACTTCTGAGCTCAAGCAATCCACCTGTCTTGGCCTCCCAGAGTGCTGAGATTGCAGGCGTGAGCCACCGTGCCAGTCCTCTAGATAGTCCTTGTCAAAGCCTTGAGCACTATGAAGGTCTCATACTGCCACATGAGGCCACGTGCCCAGGAGCAGAGAACAAGGAGGCACACAGAAAAAGAAGACAGAGTGAAGTAGATGGAGACAACCCAGGGAGGCAGGTAGGGAAGGGAATTCACTGTAATAGCCCTGTGGGTAGCCCCTGTGGGCCCCTGCAACTTGGCAGATGGCTACAGTTCTTGAGTATTCCAGTGACAGTACAAGACCCTTTGGGCAAAACCTCCCTTTTCACTTAGACTTTTAGCCTAAGACTTCTCTGGCAATCACACTACCCCTGAGTAAGATAACCACATATATGCAAAGCACAACGCTAAGATCAGAAGAGTCAGCATTCCACTGTTCTCACTTGGCTGGTGCTATGAAGTCATCGAGGAGAGTGGCTCCGGGAATCGGGGCTGTAGCAGCTGCCAGCTGCCTGGCCTTTTCTCGTATTCTATCTTTGGTTTTTGAAGCAAAATCATCCGTGGTAACAATTGCTTTAGGTGCTATCCCAAATTCACTGAGGTCCTTAAAAAAAAAAGAAAAGTAATTAAACATGATATATGACATAGCTTTATTGCTTTAAGAAAAAGTTGAGCGGTGCCTGTGGCTCAGTGGGTAGGGCACCAGCCCCATATACCGAGGGTGGTGAGTTCAAACCCAGCCCCAGCCAAACTGCAACAAAAAAATAGCCAGGTGTTGTGGCAGGCACCTATAGTCCCAGCTACTCAGGAGGTTGAGGCAAGAGAATCGCCTAAAGCCCAAGGAGTTGGAGGTTGCCATGAGCTGTGACACCATAGCACTTCACCAGGGGTTAATAAGTGAAACTCTGTCTCAAAAAAAAAAAAAAAGTTAAAAACTACAAAATGTAGCTCAGGATCAGCAGGGCAGTAGAGTCTACACACTGACTTTGGAACCTCCTCTTCACATAATGCAAGGCCAGTGGCCAAGGGCAGAGAATGACAGTCACTGCTCTCCAGAGACACGGTAAGCAGTAACAAGCTGGGAAGATGAACAGTAAGGGTGGAGTCTCTCTCTGTCACCCTGGGTAGAAAGCCCCAGAGTCTCAGCTCACAGAAACCCTTGACTCTTGGGCTCAAGCAATTCTCTTGCCTCAGTCCTCCAAGTAGCAGGGACTACAGGTGCCCGCCACAGCACCTGGCTAGTTTTTTTTCTTCATTTTTTTAGAGACAGAGTCTCACTTTCTCACCCTCAGTAGAGTGCTGTGGCCAGCAACCTCCAGCTCTTGGGCTTAAGTGATTCTCTTGCCTCAGCCTCCCAAGTAGCTGGGACTACAGGTACCCATGACAACACCCAGCTATTTTTTTCTTGCAGTTTGGCCAGGGCCAGGTTTGAACCCACCACTCTCAGTTTATGTGGCTGGCACCCTGATCACTGAGGCACCGGCACCACCCTAGTTTTTCTATTTCAGTAGGGACAGCTCTTGTTTAGGCTGGTCTGGAATGCCTAAGCTCAAGGGATTCTCCCATCTCAGCCTCTTGAGTAGCTAGGACTACATTTGCCCACCACTATACCTAGCTAGTTTTTCTATTTTTAGTAGAAACAGGTCTAACTGGCTCGGCGCCTATAGCTCAACCGGCTAAGGCGCCAGCCACGTACACCTAAGGTGGCGGGTTCGAATCCCCAGCCCGGACCCGCCAAACAACAATAATGGCTGCAACCAAAAAAATGGCCGGGTGTTGTGGCGGGCGCCTGTGGTCCCAGCTACTTGGGAGGCAGAGGCAGGAGGCTCGCTTGAGCCCAGGAGTTGGAGGTTGCTATGAGCTGTAATGCCACGGCACTCTACCCAGGGGGACAGCTTGAGGCTCTGTCTCAAAAAAAAAAAAAAAAAAAAAAAGAAACAGGTCTAACTCTTGCTCAGGCTGGTCTCAAACTCCTGAGCTCAGGCGATCCACCTGCCTCAGCCTCCCAGAGTACTGGGATTACAGGCGTGAGCCCCCACGCCTGGCTAATACTCCTGATTTTAGACACTGGCCCCATTATAAATTGCTAGTTCAATGTAGTCCAAATACCTAAAAAACAAAGGCTTACAAACAAACAGGAGCTCACAGAGCAGACTTTCTGGGGACAGAGGAGACACCGCCCCAGCCAGCTACACTTCCCACCAGCTTACTGGCAATCAAAGTTTTGCACACTCACCTCTTCATCCATAAAGTCTTCAGGACCAAGAACAGATTTGTCTGCTCTGTTCTGTCGGGAAGACACGAAGGTAGAGGGTGTCCATCCTACAAAGAAAAGAGTTTAGAACTTTATAGTACTAGATAGTATTCTGGTCTACAACTAAATTATCTTTTTTTCTTGAGACAGAGTCTCACTTTGTCACGCTAGGCAGGTGGCATCACAGCTCACACTCAAACTCCTGGGTTGAAGTAATCCTCCTACCTCAGCCTCCCGAGTAGCTGGGATACAGGTGCCCACCACCACATCTAGCCTTTTAACTAAATAATTAAATAACAAGGATGAGTGTGAAACTCCCAGTAAGTACAAAATCTTAGCTAATTCCCATCTCACTGCTTAGATACACATAATTATTCCACATAAACTTGTTTTTAATCCCTATAGCCCCTGTTGTCAGAACTTAGCAGAGGTTTCTTCATACGAACTTAGAACTAAGAGCAATCAAATTATACGTTGAAAGTTAAATCGTGATACGAATAAGGTATGAGAAGAAAAATACAAGGTCACCTTAAAATGCAAGGCCACTCTGAGACCAGCAGGACTGCAATCTGCCCTCACACAATAACATATCTAAAGAAACAGTATGTTGGGCGGCACCTGTGGCTCAGTGAGTAGGGCACCGGCCCCATATACTGAGGGTGGCGGGTTCAAACCCGGCCCTGGCCAAACTGCAACAAAGAAAAATAGCCGGGTGTTGTGGTGGGCACCTATAGTCCCAGCTACTCGGGAGGCTGAGAAAGGAGAATCACCCTAAGCCGAGGAGTTGGAGGTTGCTGTGAACTGTGACACTACAGCACTCTACCAAGGGCAATAACGTGAGACTCTGTCCCTACAAAAAAAAAAAAAAAGAAAGAAACAGTATGTCAAGCACGAAAGGATGGAGACCCATAGAACTAATCCAGGTAGCAGTCAGAATACCATGGCCCAAGGAGGCAACCCAGCTGGTCCACGAGCACTGGCTGCACCAGGCCCCCAATTCCACCAGAGGAATTGTAACTTACACCCTGGAGTCCTGTAACTTACACCCTTGCTCCCTGACCATGACCACCAAGCATGCGCCATGTCTGTAGAGAGAGAATTCTCCGGAAGTCAAACATATCTGTAACCTCTGCAGAGAGAACTTCCTTAGTTTCCTCTAAGAGTGATGCCCCTGTTTTCTCATTCTTTCCAAGGGTCTTGCAGGGCTGAGGAATTCGGGGAAGGTCTACTCTTGGGTAGGTGGCTACAGTAGGTTTCCAGCTTAGCCTGGGAGCTGCCCCCAGAGAGTGAGACTCAGCTCTCCTGGACAACACCCTGGGCCCAGCACCTTCCTCACTGGGGGTTCACAGACTTTGTCCTACGTCTGTGCAGACCTGAGTCTGCCGCTCCTGACAATGCAGATATTCCACTGTATCAACTTACCACTATCTACCTGATGGACCCAGGGGGACAGCTTGAGGCTCTGTCTCAAACAAAAAAAAAGAGACAGAGTCTCACTGTCACTCTGGGTTGAGTGCCGTGGCATCACAGCTCACAGCAACTTCAAACTCCTGGGCTTAAGCAATTCTCTTGCCTCAGCCTCCCAAGTAGCTGGGACCACAGGCGCCCACCACAAAGCCCAGCTATTTTTTGTTGTTGTCATCATTGTTGTTTAGTAGGCCTGGGCCTGTTTAAACCCACCAGCCCTGGTACGTGTGGCCAGTGCCCCAACCACTGAGCCACGGGTGCCAAGCCTAAATATTTTTTTTAATAGGTATGTTAGTTGAACAGTGCCCTGGATATTTAAATCCGCTTACTAAGAATGGTGGATATTCTACATAGCATTTCTAGCTCCTCTCAAGTACAATATTCCAAAACTTTGACCATTTGCTCATTAGAAACTGATCTTTATACATTCTGGATGTTGAATTTTAACTATCTTATTTACCCTAAGTAATCACTCTACAACACGCACGTTGGCACTATGAACATTCCAAACACTCTAAGAACACAAAAGACTGCAAGCAACATACGTACTGAAGTGTTTAAAGAAAAAATTAAGAAAAGTGGGGGTGGGGTAGGAGCTTACAATAATGTGTCAATCATTTACTTTAGCAATGCAATTGCTCTAAGCAGGAAAATCAGACCTTCTTTGGAGCCGACGGTGTTGAAGTAGCCAGCAGAGAAACCTCCACTAAAGGCTCCATGGAATCGTTTGTATCTTCCTCTTTCATCCCTGACAGTCTGATCCTGAAGAGGAATTGGTTTCTTTGGTCTTTCACCTGAAAAAAAAAAAAAAAAAATTTGAGTGAAAAAGTAGAGGATGAGTTAGAATTTAGGGAAGCTGTTCACTTATAACTTCAAATAGAACCATTTACATTAAGTTGTTATGCCCAGACTTTACTAGTTTATATGGCCTAGAAAACAATATATTTTATCAAGCTTACATTAGAACTATGCTTTAGTAAAAAATGGCCTGCTTTTCCCACTAAATTGCATTACAAACCCAGATTATATTGAAGGGAAGATTCAAACAAATGGAATTGAAATCTCCTGGCAAGGAAGGCAGCATGATGCGGGCACAGTACATGGCAAGCAGAGGTCTGTGACAGAGGGAAGCTTCCATACCTTTCCATACCTCTTCTGAATGCCACAGCAACCCTGACTCCTGCTCTTCTCCTTTGGTATTGCCCATTTCCCCCACCTGTTAAGAGTTTCCTTAATTTCCACAAATCTCCTGATTCCATAGTTACTGTTCTTTTTTTTTTAAGAGACAGAGTCTCACTTTTATTGCCCTCAGTAGAATGCTGTGCTGTCACAGCTCACAGCAACCTCCAGTTCTTGGGCTTAAGTGATTCTCTTGCCTCAGCCTCCTGAGTAGCTGGGACTACAGGCATCCGCCACAACAGTCGGCTATTTTTTTGTTGCAGTTTGGCCAGGGCCGGGTTCGAACCTGCCACCCTCGGTATATGGGGCCAGTGCCCTACTCACTGAGCCACAGGCACCGCCCCAGGAAAAGGAAGTTACTAGCTGGACAAGGTGGCTCATGCCTACAATCCTAGCACTCTGGGAAGCCAAGGCAGGAAGATCTCTGGCACTCGGGAGTTCAAGACAACCTGAGCTAGAGCAAGACTCTGTCTCTACTAAAAAATAGAAAAATTAGCTGTTATTGTAGCAGGTGCCTATAGTCCCAGATACTTGGGAGGCTGAGGCAAGAGGATCACTTGAGCCCAAGAGTTTGAAGTTGCTGTGAGCTATTATAACATCATGACACTCTAGCCTGGGCAACAGAGTGAGGGTCTGTCTCAAAACTAAAAAAAAAAAGAACTGAATTACAACTCGGATTTCATCATCCAAGTGTCTCCGTATTTCTTTTTTTTTTTTTTTTTTAGACAGCCTCTCACCTGTCCCCCTGGGTAGAGTGCCACAGCATCACAGCTCACAGCAACCTCCAACTCCTGGGCTCAAGC